AAGACACAGATGAGAGAAAAATAATGGAAAGAAAAACACAATCTTCTTGACTCACAAAGACAGTGCCTTCTATGATATTGCGGGGCAGGACGGGGTGGGGGGGGGAAGGGAATTCGCTCTTGATTTCCAAAAACACAAGGAAAAGTCAAGAGTATAGGCCACTGTAAGACAGATGGGGTTTAAAGATTTGAAGGGAGGGACTTCCCTGGTGACGCAGTGGTTAAGAATCCACAGGGGACACGGGTTCGATCCCTGCTCCTGGAAGATGCCACATGCCGCAGAGCAGCTAAGCCCGTGCACCACAACTACTGAAGCCTGCGCACCTAGAGCCCATGCTCCGCAACAAGAGAAGCCATCGCAACGACAGGCCCGCGCACCGCAACGAAGAGCGCCCCCCACTCGCCTCAACTAGAGAAAGCCCGTGTGCAGCAATGAAGACCCAACGCAGCCAAAAAAAAAGAAAAAAGGATTTGAAGGTATAGCGAATGTACGATACTACCCCCAAAATATCGTCATACTTCAGAAATTCGTGGCGCATCTATCAACTGGTTACAATCCTAAATTCTCTTCCTTCCTGTTTTTGCAAACATACATAAAAAGGAGCCGATGCTGTTACACCCAGCATCAAGTAGGACCCGGGACGTAACCTCCTTTAGCCATTTTCCTGCAGAGCATAACTGCACGTGGTTGCCACACCTGATTCGCCCCAAGAAGGGCTGTGAGCAGAGGGAAAGGCACTCGGAGAGCTTTGGACACTCCTCCAGGGCTCAGAAGTGCCGGCTGGTAGATGCACTTCACTGAATGATGCCCCAGCGGCCTGCGAGAATTATAGCAGCTTTCTAAAGTGACTCACTCACTCCCAGGGGGTCGTCTGGGCTCAGAGAAAATCTATCTCCCTGATTATTAGTGATTTAGTAATTGGGTGGTAGTGATTGACTTCTGATAACGTGGAGATTTGCTTTAGCCTCACTGGCAAAGGCGTGTATTTTTGGAGTCAAAGGTTACACGGCTTCTTTGTGTGTGTGCATTGGGGGGTGGGGGGCAGGGCTGCAGAGAAGCACAGCTTCTTGGAACCTGAATCGACCAGTCCCAGCTCTGCCCTGTACAAGCCACAGGCCCCCTGCCTCAGCTTCTTTGTATGTAAATGGAGGGGGTCGAATCAAACGACCCCCACCGCCTCTTCCAGATCTGGAAAATCTGTGGTTTCTAGGCAAGGAGTACATTGGATGCACAAGAGCTGTTTGGAAACCTACTAGTTTCAGCGTGTTAATTTCAGCTTTTCCATGCCATGATTTTGGATAGAGATCAGGATTGTTTCTTCCTTACAGGTATAGAGAAAAACGAAACAGCTCACTTCCATGTATCCTCTCTCTCTTTCCCCCTGCTTGTCATCCAGCTCTGAAACTGCACGCTTTCTATGAGTATATTGTATTCTTTTTTTCTTTTTTTGCTGTTCATGTGCTATGTCTCAAGATACGTGTTTGGGAGTTATACTTTCCTCTTTCCCGTTCCAGTATTTTGAATGGGAACCAGAATATCTCTTTTTGCACCTTGTAACTAAGTAGAAAAACAAAACAACCCACCAAATTTCCTCTGGCCCTTCTGATCCCTTAAATAGTAAACAAATGGAATCTGTATTCCCTCTTCTTATCCACGGAGAGAGTCTAACTTGTCCTGGGAGAGTGTGCAAGGGGTCATTTGCAAAATTGCCTTATTATCCTATTACTCTCCGGGAGCAAATATGTGCCTTTTCATCTTGGGTTTGTAGAGGTATAAGCAATCTGATCTGCCCTATAAGTATATCGCTTGATGGGTAATTTGCAGTGAAGTTAACAAGAAAAAGACAAATGTGTAAAGGGGGAGCATTCATCTTCACAAACGATATTTTAAAATCACAAGTTTAAAAAAAAAAAAAAATCACAAGTTTTGCAGGAAGGTAGGCAGAGACCGGGCTGCCAGTTTCGGGGATGTCTTGGAGGCCAGGCCGGGAGGGAGAGGGCCTTGTCCAGGAGTCATTCTTAGCGGTGGCAGGTAGGCAACGCCCAGCAGAAGGTCCATGACACCTTTCCAGGAGCAGCATTTCTTGGACTGCTGGTCATGCCTCATCTAGTGTGTCGTGAAATCAATTTAGTGGGTCATGACCAGAAATTTTTAAAAAGCATGAAATAAATTAGACTAAAGCAGCACAGAGTAGAAAATATCAGAGTGCATGGCATGGACAAAATCATGTACTGTCTAGTGGAACTCTGGCTCAGTGGTATGCCTGTGTGTGTTGTGTGTGTGAGTGTGCGTGTGTGATGTGTTTGGTACACCAGGTTTCAGGGTAGAATATATTTCTTACTGCAGGTCTTAGTTCAGAATTTTGAAACCCTCTGCCCTGGAGAAATACATGGCCACGCACATCTCCATGCTGGCTTCAAACGCCTTGGTCTGGTTTCCACAAAGTAAATTTATAAACAAAGGAAAAGGAATTCTTCTGAAGCAAATGGTCACCTCACAACTCCATATTTAAATGACTCCTAAGTTATTCTGAAATTCTCCTTCTCTTTCTCTGGAAAATACTTTAACAGAATCAATGTAAGCCCAAGGCAAATGGTGAAGTGGGTCCAGTTTGTCTTTTTCTCCTGGGGGCAACTCCCACCCCTTACAGGTGTCACCCCCAGGGTTTGTATCTGTTCCCTCTTTAAAGCATATTCTCATGAAAGACTGATAAATGCCTTAAACAACAGTATAAATGACTGATATTGCTTTAGTATGTCCTGTTCTCAAAAGTGTTTACATTTTAGCCAAATATGAACTCTCATGCCCTAGAAAGGACTCTCATACAATTTAATTACAGTGAAAAGAAAAGAGAAATTTGGAGAGAGTTTTTTCCTAGCACTCTTAAAGTCCTACCTGGGGGACTCTATATTCACTTTATAACCTTCCTTTCTTTTTTCACATGTAATTAATACACATGATTTCTTTCCCCACGCTTTTGTGAAACAAACTTCAACAGTCTTTTTTTTGAATATTTATGAAATTGTCTTATCATAAAATCTTTGAGAGCAAATATTTTGTCTTATTCCCCTTTGCATCCATCGTACACCAACTAACCGCCTGACAAATTTGAGGTCCTCAGCTGGCAGTAGTTAATGACTATTATACAATTTTACTTTCTGCCACACATGTGGTAATATTGTTTTCCAATGTCAAACTAATCAGAGTACAAGTGCATGTTTTTTTCCGGAATATAAGAGTAATACGTAAAGCCTCCACACACTTGTCATAAAACAATAAGAGCAATTTTAAAATAGCACCGATTTATTGAGTATATAATATAGGCCGGGTTCCCAGGACTAGAGGCTTTGCCCATATAGTCTCATTTATTACTCTAAAAACCTCAATACACGTATTGCTATTCCCATCATACCCTCCATCACCCGCCAAACACCACACCTACAACTTTACCTACAAGAAAACTAAGGCTCAGAGATTGAGGACCTGCCCACAAAGACAGTTACTAAGTAGCAAAGATCTAATGCAAACTGGTTTCCTCCGACTTGGAAGGCTGTGCTTTCCTCACTTGTACACTTCCTAACATTTCGGCTGTATGTAAAATTATCATTTTCATTTTCATTTTCCAATTTCTTACCTGTTCTCTTAAGGGACAAAGTCGTGAACCTAAGAGCACCGGGAAGCTTTGGTTTGGTTTTGTTTTTAATGATAAACAACGCCCTGACTATTCCAGGGTGGTTCCACACTCAGAGGGTTTGGCCTGACAGCTAACAGTGCATTCTGCTTGCCACCCCCCACCCCCGCCCGAGTGATCCCCACCATCAGCCATCTGTATGCGCGGGACAGAGGCCTAGAGGGTAGGGCTGGACCGGTCAGCATCCTAACAGCAGGCTGGGGGTAGCCTAGTAACTTACTCGGATCCATTCAGATTAATTTTTTTGTTGCAGATCACAGTGCCAGGTGAAGACGGCCGTGGAAAGCGCTGTTTTCCGTTTGCACGTGGCTTCCACATTCCCCAGCCCATCCGCGCACACACAACTTTAAACAGAAACCTTTAAATTAAAAGTCTGCTTCGTACTGTCCTTCTCTCAGAGATTTTTAAATCTCCTCCCAAAGTCCTAGGTGTCTGAAGCAGCCACAGGAACAGGAAGAAATTGATTTTGTGACAGACAGACTAGAAATCAAACCCAGGATTCAGTTTTGTTTTCAACACAGAGAACGAAATCACTGACCACCAAATACAGTTTGGTAGCTACTCTCAGATCCCAAACTTCCCTATAACTTTCCCATATTAATTCGGTCTTCAGTTTCAGGAAATAAAATAATTATGTAGTTAAACAGAGATCCTTAGACAAACAAGGGCTGTGTTTACAATGTACCAATCCATTAAAATCAACGGCAGACATTGATTATGAGTAGCAAAGCCCAGCCAAGCAGGCTAGCACTTGCCACGGGGCCCATTCCCCAGCCAACAGCAGTAAACATCCTATTGGAATCTGCTCCGAAAACAAAGGCTCTACCAACCTAATGTCAAGGTAAACAGGTAGTAAATACCTACTTGCTAACTACTAACCAGTGGTACCACTTGAATTCTTTAGCGTCTAAACACAACTAAATGTTGGCCTTTTTTCCTTCTAAATTGGCACCATTATAACAGAGCTCTTTACTTGGTCATTTTTTAAAAGTTTACTAAGTTCTGTTTCACACTGGCTTCAGTTTTTTAGCCATAAACCATCTGAGCTTAAAGGGAGTAAGTAGAGACATTCTCCTACTCAGAAAAGAAAACCCAACCAACTTTCCCCTATTTGACATGAAATGCCATGCCCCCAGATGAAGAGCTACAGAGAAGAAAAGCCCCATAAAGTTAAGCTGAAAATAGTTCTGAAGTCAAGGTCGGAAACATCATTTTACAAAGAAGAAAAGTAAGGAGAAGACCCTATTAAGCAGGGACAGAGCCGGGTCTCCCGGAAGCGGGGCTCTAAGCTCCGAGGGCTGGCACGTACCTTGAGCTCCCGGAAGAAGACGCTACTCCGGGCCCACTCCACGATGGAGAATAGGGTCTGATCTGCCATCTTGCACATGAGCCCGAACGTACTCAGCCTCTCGTGTTTGCTGCGGTTCGCCTGCTCCTGCTGCAGATAGGCCATGATCTTGGCCTGGACCTGGGGCTCATCGGGCTCACACTTCAGCAGTTCCAGGATCAGGTGGGGCATGCTGGCGGGGGAGCTGGTCTGGTAACTGTCCATGTAGGAGTAGCCCATGATGGACTCCGGGGAGCTGGTGTAGGGATCTGGGTACTCAGACTTGATGGCCCGGCTGGGAAAGTGGCTGTAGGTCTGGTACCCTTGCAGGCTGCCAGGAGGTGGCATTGTCATGCTGATGGGGGACGTGACAAAGGGACTGCGGTCGTAGTCTGTAGGAGGCAAGGCAGCATGGTTCAGAGGTAGGCCTTTGGAGACAGAATGGATGTTCTGAATTGCAGAGGAGATGCTCAGCTCGGAGGGCATGGCTTGGATCACCTGAGACATGGCTTCTAGCTTAAGTCCATTGGCTCGGATGAGGGCTTTTTTCTGCTGCTTCAGGGCCCTGTCCCTCTTGTACATGGGCCCAAACTTATTCCTCCCTCCGCGCATTCGGTCCGCCCTTACCGCTGTCGGGTGGGGGAAGAAAAAAAGAAAGGAAGCGTAAAAGTAAGTATTAGCATTCTCCAGATCTCCAGATAGTTAGAAAGGCTGAAAATGGACCGGAAGTGGTCTGTGTGTGGTTGTTTCCAAAAAAAAAAAAAGCCATGTCCTCTTTATTTATGAATTCTTTCCTCCAAGTGTGTTTGTCATCAAAAAAAATATTTCGGGGGGTTTCCCCGGTGGCGCGGCGGTTGAGAGTCCACCTGCCGATGCAGGGGACGCGGGTTCGTGCCCCGGTCCGGGAAGATCCCACATGCCGCGGAGCGGCTGGGCCCGTGAGCCATGGCCGCTGAGCCTGCGCGTCCGGAGCCTGTGCTCCGCAACGGGAGAGGCCACAACAGGGAGAGGCCACAACAGTGAGAGGCCCGCGTACCGCAAAAAAAAAAAAAAAATTCAGATATGTAGGGACATATTAACCCTTTGGTGACTGCAGAGGTTTCCTAATTTTTCTACACACAGGAGATGCTTCACGTTTCTAAAGAAGAGGCTCAGGCCCTATCACGCCAGTGATGCTGCTGTGATTCTCTTTATGGAAACCCAAACTGCTAAAAGGGAGAAAAAAAAAAAAAAGCAAAGGAGCCATTTCTGGATTAAATTGTGACTATTTTTCCTTAGAACATCTTCCTCTCTCAAAGTCTTTTGGTTAATTTGCTGCAAAAGTGTTAGGTACATGCTCTTCTTGGAAAATCATCCTCACCTGGACTTGACGGGCACACATCAGGTAGCCACCGGTTATTGTTTTCCATTTAAGCAGAACTGGACATAATTAAAGCAAATTCATTTCAGAAGCTGTCAAAACGGTCCACCGTCACGATGCTATGTGGCGTCTGGGGCCACGTCTAGTAATTTACTTAGCGGGACTCTCCTAGCTCATGGTGGCCAGTGGCAATTCGATAGGACCCAGCAACCTCTGACAGCTTGTGACATACTGAAATTGCTGGAGGTTAAGTTTTCGAGCTTTTCATCTTAGGATTAGTATAGCATTAAAAATTTATTGTGAATGCTAGGTATCTAGAACACTGCACAAGATGATAAAGAGTTTTTCATCTGGATGATAATTTATTGAATGTTTAATTGTTTCATATCACTGTGAACAAAGCATGAGCATGCATTGCAAGTGACTTACTGTTAAGAAAGCACACTTTTTAAGGTAAAGAAATGTAACCTTTTCCCTTTGTTAAAAAAAAGGAATCAAATGACACCATATGCAATCACAACATTTAATTTTTAACATTTTATCTTCTGAGTCTCATACTATAGTAAGCATCTACCACATTGTTTTGCTGTTTGCAAAATAATACAGGGCTTGGTAATGAAGAATTAACAAGAATCAGTTACTTCTTTTTCTCAACCTCCTCTTAAAAGCAACACAGACTTAACAGTCCTCCTGATAACCCAAGTGGCTACTTCTATTGGGAAGGAACCTATTAGCAATTCAGCAGACTTATCTGAAATTTTTTGAGTATTGCCATCAAGTCTGAGTGCCACACAACAGAAAAGCCCCAAACACGACTAGTCTGTGCCTCACTGATCAAATAAAATGCACTCCTGTATCTGGCACATCTCAGGGATCTGTATCACTTCTTATTACTTTATTTACAATATATTTAATCTCTGGAAAGTCAGTAGGTCAGAGGCTGAAGAACAGCAACACATCATAATAGTTCATGAACTACAAATTATTTACAGAAGAGTCACATATTAAACATTACTTCCTGCCAATCTGTACATCGTAAGTGCAGGTTCTGCTTTTTCAACATAAAGTTTAATGTGGCTTTTGAGGAACCATTCTCTTGTTTTTGTCAAACCAATGCTACCGATGTAATGGTTCATTATTTTTCATGTTTCCTGCTTCTCAAAAAAATTTTTTTTATTTTGCAGACTCAGTCATCATCTTAAAAAAAAAAAAAGAAACGTGCTTTCCCACACAATCAAAAATGATACTCTACATGAGAAAATCTTTTTATAATTAAAGGCTTTAACTCTTGTTCAAGAATCACGAAACTAATAGTAACAATTATGACAAGCGTACCTATTTAAAAAGATTAAAATCAAACTTTTTTACTGGGGCATCCCGATTTGAAAACTTACAGGATTTTAAAAAATATTTTGGCAAATTATTTTTACCTGTTCTCAGCTGAATCATATTAGTCTTGCTTTCATCTAACCTGACCTTTCATCTAACCTATGAAATGCATCTGCTCCTCAAACTAAGAAAAGAGGTGAGAAGGCGACACTCTGGTATTAGAATTTTTTTCCCTAGTAAATTTCACCAGCATTTAAATGAGACTCGGACTATTCTGCTGACAAAACATCAAAAGGTCTTATTGTCAATAGTGTTAAAAGACTAGGAAAATACTGTTACCATGTTATAAGTACAATGTTGTTTTAAATCCTGTGTCCTTAGAGAGTTTTAACAGGCAGTGGTCTTTAGAAAGAACTTACCTTCTAGCTTCATTCCAACACTTAGACATTTTTGAAATCGACAGTAAGGACAGCGCTTTCTCTGTGTCTTGTCAATTTGGCAGTTCTGGTTTTCTATACACGTGTACCTTTTATTATTTTGGACTGTTCGCTTAAAAAAGCCCTGTAAGAGAAAATAGTGAGACATATTATTAAGCTAACACCCGTCTCTTCCATTGTTTCATTTTAAGGAAATCACCAGTAAATCTTTTCATTGCACCGTTTGAGCCCTTATGTGGTTCTGTGGTTTGTTTTACATTTTAACAAGATCAACCCTCCCAAACCAGGCTATGGTGGAGATTTTTCTGGCATCAGTTATATTTCAAGAATCGCATCAAATCTTGGGGACCTTTAGCTACACACCATCTTATCTCAACAGTCAGGGAAAAATACGTACATATTAACCAGTAATTTTTTGAAGAAAATCTGTCTTCCTATTAACCCTCATATTCCAGATAAGGCACTTACAGAGAGAGCGGCATTGTTTTTAAGTAGTCTGATACAATATCAGTGGCAAACTACTGTATAATAGCAATGGAAAAATGGAATAGCAAAACACCTCAGATTTTTTACAAATGTCAGCACTAGATAGTTAAAAGCAAAAGGATTTAAAGAATAAAATGGGAAAATGTTTATAATTCCACTGGAATACATTCAAGTTGGGGAACTGTGTAAGGAAAAAGGTGAAACTCATGAGGGAAAAAAGCATATACAACAAAGAGCTGAATTTTAGCAGAGTGTATGCCTTCCTTATATTTCACCCACAAGAATTAATCAAAAATAAAATCTGTAGCTTTGTAACATAATAACAGCTTGGATGGTATATTCTGTTTGTCCTACTAGCCACAAAGTGAAACCATCTTACTTTGTTATAAGGAAAGAAGGGATTTTCTTGGCAGTGGTTTAAGTAATTGTACTGAGTTTTCTACTTTTAAAAATGTTGAAAAATAGGGGGTATCAAATTTACTGGGAATGTATGAAAAAGGTCTGAGATAAGTCCTTAACGTATAGTTGACATGGTTAGTAATAATACAGTACATCTTACATATTAAAATTTCTTGCATTTAAATAGGTCATATAATATATTTATGAAAACTACTCTTATTATAAACTTAAGATCTGGTTTCTAATTCTTTATGATATAGATTTCAAAAAAATCTTAAAGGTTATTTTTGGAATAAATCAGGATGAAATCATATAGTGGGGAGTTTAGACTTTTATATGTCTGTGGGTTAAAAAATGTTTGGATGTGTAGCACAGAATACTCTGAAGTTACAATGTATTGGGGAAATACTTTGTCATGTTCGCTCTCAAGAACAACGATGCTTTAAATATATATAAGTCAAGCAAAATCAATACTTTGGACCATTAGAAATAGAAGTTTTTCTACAGCTCTGTCACCTTCCTACCATAAACTATTTTAAAGCCGTGAGACTGGCAAAGTTTTCTAAACAGCATAAATCTCTTTGCCTTTTGAATTAAATTGGACACATATTTCTTAGAATCATCTCACTAAGACTCACTCATTCCCTCTCTCATGTTTAACTGGGTCCAAAAAAGACAGCTTGTATTTAGCTTTAAGAAGTAATCCAATGGTTTATTTTGGTTTTGAGCATTATATTTCTCAGATAGCAACGTAGAAGGCAAACCTTGCAGCTTTCACAGGTGAGGAGCCCATAATGGTACCCAGACACTTTATCTCCACAAACGGGACAGAGTTCCTCAAGATCTTCATCATAGGAGTAATTCACCATTTTAAACTGAGACACTGAAACAAGAGAAATGCATGCACATATCCAATTAATTTACTAGGTAGGTTTTAATCCTGCAATAAAACCCATTTTGGTGACTGGTGGGCAAACATCACCAGGTAAAATAGAAAATAAAAATGTTATACCCAGATGTACTGCAGAGAGCTATTTTCATACAGTGGAAGTAAAACAACTTTTGGCATGCGCTTTGCATTATTTTAATTTAAAAATAATTCTAATATCTTGCGTTAAAAATTCTTAAGCTGACCACTGTTGAACAAGAGTCCCCCTAACTCTGCAAAGCAACAGATCAGAATAGAAACACGAATTGCATAAAGTAACAACTTCAAATTTCTTTTAAACCTCCTTGAGGTTAAGTTCCAAAATGTCACCTTTGCCTAAGGGAGAGAAAGGAGCACATGGCATTATCCTCCCACTGGAATGAGTCTGCTTAAAGTCCAGCGAACTATAAGGGTGTTTAGGGAAAGCAACACCAATATGCAAACACTTGGCGGGGGGAACGGATGCCCCAGAAACCTTCTCAGCAGCCCCATTTTAACCACAGCCTGCTGCTCCCAGCGTTCAGATCTGTTAGATCAATCCAAACATTCAGTTACGTAGTGATAGGGCTTTCCCCTCCACACTTTTCAAAAATCTCCTGTAAAAATAAAAAGGCAAAAGGCAGGACGCCCGGACCAAAAAAAAAAAAAAAGAAGAAAAAGAAGGAAGGGAAAAGATACACACGAGGGTTTGGTTTCGTCGCAAAGTACTGAAGTCGTTTAATGAACTTCACATGTTTCCGATCATCACCGCAAAATATAAACACCTCGAGTTCGCCCCGTTAAACAGAAATCAGGCCGCGGCTCTGAGCGGCTCCCTGCAGGGATCGGGTAACCGGCCTTCCTTCCGACGCAGCACCGCGAAGGCGTCTTCACAGCTCCAAGATGGATAAACTGCATAGCAGAGGCAGTGGCCAGGAGACCCCAGATAATACCTGATCCGGTCCCTCCCGGAGACTCGGTCCTTGCCGATCGAGCCTCGCAGCGCGCGCCGCAGGGGACGGATGGCGAGGGCAGGTCCGCGCAGCCCGGCCGCCGCCCGCAGCCTCCCGGCACCTCCGGTGAAACCCCGGGCACATTCGCCTCTCGCCCCTTGCTCAACTTTCGGCTACACACAGGCGCACAAACGCCCCAGTTAAGTTTGTTTTAAGTTAATCAGTGGCATTTGCAGGGGGCGGGGCGGGGCGGGAGGGGGTGGATGGGGAACCGAGGGCCGGGCAGAAGCTTCCTCTGATTTGTTTACCAAATAGGAAAAGGAGAAATAGCCCCCAGCCCACCCCCAAAGTACTCGGCCGCTCTATCACCATAGTGGCCTCCTTGCCAATGATTACTGATTTTTTTTTTTTCTCTTTAAAATAAAGTTCTATTTTCTTTACGGATTCTGGGGGCCGCCGGAAAGGGCCGTCGGGGTGAGGGTCCTTGCAGCGCTTCTCGGCTGAGCCGCGACCGGCAGAGTGAGGCCGGCTCTCTCCCAGGGACTCAGAGCCCTGGGCTGGGGCATAAACCTAGGTGAGTTAGCCAGAGTTTGGGCGGGGGGCGGCGGGGGGGGCGGTCCCGGGAAGAGATGTTCCAGACGAGGCAGACGTGTGGGCTCCGAGAAACAGAAATAAAGAGACGCAGAGCGCAGTCCTCCCGGCGGTGCCCTGAGAGGGCCGCGCTCGCGTTGGGGAACCTGGGGGTTTGGCCGAGGCTGATAGTTCCAGAAGTTTGTTAATAGCCCAATCCCTCCTAAAGCTCGTGACTATTGTCTTGAGGCACGTTTTAGGGACGGAAAAAAGGTGTGCTTTACCAAGTGTGTTCTCTTCTCCCTCCCCCTTTCCCCAACAAAGTAAACTTTAACTTTGCCTCTGAGAGGCTCGGAGAGGCAACCGTTTCCAGGGGACCCGGTGCGCGCCTCGGGGATCCGACACCCAAAAGACCGGGGCTGGGGGTGGGACCCTCTTGGAAAATTCAAAGGCAGAGGCCGTGTGGGGAGATCGACGCTGCGGTGCGAGACCGGGGCACCTTTCAGAGGCGCCCAGGCGCTGTTAACCCAAGATAGCGTTTGGAGCACGGAGTGCATCCGAGCAAATAAGTCCCGGTCTTGAGAAGGTAGAGGGAGCGGTGGGGCCTTGGACAGCGAAGGCCTCAGAGGCGCGCGGACAAGTTCCCCGAACTGTCCCGGGACTCGGTAGCGGGTCCTCTTTCTGCCCCCCGGCCCCCCGCCCCGCGGGTCGGACGGCGGTGCGTCCCCGGCCGAGACCAAAGCGAGCCTGGTCCTGGGGTGCCTGTCCGCCGGGGCTCCCCTCCGGCAGCAGGCCGCGTGGCCTGGATGGAGGAAGCCTCGCCCGGGCGCTGCCCACCCGCTTTCGACCCCGGGGCTGAGCCAGTGGCCGGAGGCTTCCCGGAGCCCTAGGTACCAGGGAAAGCCAGCTTTCTGCTCTGGGGCAGTGGGTCCGGTCGAGAACGCCCCTCTCAAATTCTACAAAGAAAATATTGCAATGGCATCTCCCTCCCACCTCCCCCCAAACCCTGATTCTTGCCTCCCGGGCTTCCTGTTCCAGCTTCTCCCTCCGCTGCTTTTCCCGAGTCGCCCAGAAACGCGTGCGGTAAGGAGAAGCAGAAACTTTCCCTTGGCCCAAGAATCTCGCCGGCCCCAAGGACGCCCAAAGGATAGTCCTTCGCAGCAGCTGGCGGCTGCGGGTCTCGGAGGCAGCTCCCCGGCGCCGCTTCCCCCGAGTCCCCCTTCGCGAAATCCCAGGTGCCAGAGGGAAAGCCTCTTTGGGCCAACCGGGTCCCCTCGGCAGCCAACCTACAAGTTGGACTCTAGGGCCTCGGGCCCAGGGGACGTCCACGGCCCTCCCTGGAGGCTGAGCGAGACCCCAGGATCCGCGAGCGGTATCCGACCCCACCAGCAGGACGCACGCCTTCCCGCCGCCCCCTCTTCTCAAAGCAGCGGGGCGACCTCAGGCCCCGGGCCCAGCGCCGCCTCTCCCGCACAGCCGCGTGCACCAGCCCTGAACTCTGCTCTCAACGCCTCCCCGGCCCTTTCAAGTTCGTTCAAGGGGATGGCAGGAAGCGTTCCGGGATCACAGGCCCGCCGGCCCGCACATCCTGCGCGCTGGCAGGGGCGAGGATGGAAGGGCACCGGTGACTTTTCCTAGCATTGTTCCCTCCCCGGCCCCGAGCAACTGCGATAAACTTCTGAAGGGCTCAATACGGCCAGATCTAGAGTCGCTTATTTTGGAATGCGGCGAAAATACAGCCTACGGGATTTGCTTTTTTTTTTTTTTTTGCTGTTGTTGTTAGCAATCAAAAGCTGGGAAATGAAAAAGGACTTCCAGTTTTCCAGGTCTCAGAGAGAAGAGCTTGAGGCTAAACCGCCGCCCCCGCCCAACACTCACTCCGCAGCGCCCGACCAGTGGATGGGCTGGGAATAACTGGTTCTCTCCAGTTCTGCCTGCAGTTTTATGAAGTTGTCCAAATTCGAGCCGGCTCCCTCGGTGCGCCTGGGCTGTGGGGCGCCCATGCGTCCTAACACCGCTAAGCCCGCTCTCCCCAAGGCTCCATCTCTCTCTGCAGTTGACTTTCCCAGGCAGTGTCCTTCCACCGCTGAAGAGCACCGCTTCAAGTTCCCGCCGATTCCAACGACTGGGAACCTGCTCGGGTTTCCCGCGAGACATTCCGTTCCTTAGAATGATCTTTAGAATAATAAGATCTTTAGCCTGAAGCTGCCCCGCTCTTGTAGCCAGAGCTCGAAGCCTCTCTTTTCTTAATTAGAAGTGGCCAATTAGGCATTGCTTGGAAAATCCCCGCCCCGCATTGTTCAAGAGCCATAAACTTTTATGCCTGCCCCTGGGGAAGGGGCCCGACGCCCGCGCGCAGCCCCGCAGCCCCGCGGCGACCGGCGCTCGGCGGCCAGTCAAGCGCCCGCGCGGCGAGCCCGGGGCGCTGGAGCCGCGGGAGCCAAGCGCCGCGAGCGCCTCCTTACCTTGCATGTTTTCCGGCATCTGCCCCTGTTCCCCATGCGACCGAGCCAGTCCCAGAGCTTCCGTCTCCACTTTGGGCAGCATGACAAGGCGGCCGCGGGCGGGGTAGGGGTCCGTGCCGGTCCGGAAGCCCAGCACCTGGACGCCGGCAGTACAGCTTCAACTCCGCCGGCAAGAAGGAGGGGGCGGCCGGGTGGCTGCTTCCTCGCCCGCCGTCAGGAGCGCGCCTCCGCCGCCTCCGGGGCTGCCGTCAGGACCCCCGAGCCCCGTCCAGGCTCGCGGCTCCTGAGCCGCCCCGGAACCGCGGGGAGGAGGCAGCGGGCTGCAGGCTTAGACCGCGCCCGGGCGCCCCGGTCCGGCTCGGCAAGGGCGCAGCTGCCCGGGGCGCGAACGCGCGGACGGCCGAGCGCCGGGCGCGCAGCGGAGGCGGCGGCCGACCTGCTGCCGCCGCGGCGCTGCCGCTGCTCCCGGACGGCTCGGCTCCGGCAACCCGCACCCCGCCCTCCGCCGCCCAGCGCCCGGGATCCGCAGGGTCTCGCGCGCGCTTTCTCTGGCCTCTTTCCGCTCCTCTCCGCCCCTTCCCCGTCTCTGCTTCCCTCCCGCTCGCTGTCAGGCGGGGAGTTAGGAAGTTCCAGCCTCCCTCTGTCGCTTCGTCTACACCTCTCCAGCCCGGGGAGGCGAGGCTGGGAAGGACACGGGGAGGAAGAGGAGAAGGGCGGCGAGTAGGGCTGGGCAGGGGCAAGAGGGGATGAGGGGCGATGGCAGTGAATGGGGACGCGGGCTCCGGACTCGGGTCGGACGCCAGGCGCCAGCCAATGAGGACGAGGCGCAGGCTCTAGTCTCCTCGCCTGCCCCAACCTCTTCACCCCGCCTCGCCCCCTCCTGCCCCACCCAGGCCCGGGGCGGGGGATGCGCACGCGGCGGCTCTTAACAGCGGGTGAGAGGCGACCTCTGTCTGAGCGCGGCGGCCAAGGAGAAGCTCGGGCGGAGATGTCCGCGCGCAGAGGGGAAGCCAGAGGGACGCGGGTGGGAGTTGGGGGTGAGGGGGCGCCCCCCGTGTGCGCCGGGTGAGGGGCTGCAGGAGGAGTTAAACACATTTAAACAACCCAGAAATGAAAAGAAGAGCTGGCCTGCTCTCGAGGGTCTCCCGGCCTCGTTCCCCTCGGCACTCAGTCCGCGGGCCCCCGGGAGTGGCGGAGCGTCACGGTTCACCTGCTCACCGAGGGGGCAGCCGTGTCGCCGGGAACCTGAACGGCTATCCCCGTTTCCCCATTCTTCCCCAGTTCCTTCTCTCGCTTATAAACACCACCCCGCCTCCTCGAGCCCAAGATTATCTTGGCGGCAGACTTCCTAAATTTTGGTGAACTGGGTTTCCATATAGAATGCAAAGCGCAGCCTGGGCTTTCTTTTTCATTTTGCTGCCTCTTGGGTGGGACGATCCACATCCCAGAGGCCCCGCACTTTAAAAAAAGTTTTAAAGAACCATCTGTTATGCAAGCTATTCCTCCACCCGCCCGGCCCCATCTTCAAAGTTTTCAGATCTCATCCCAACAAGATGAAAACATTTTTTTTTTCCAGCCTCCTGACTGCATGTGAAATGCCTCATATTCAGTGTCTGCTGTGAGACCGGGTAAAGATCAGAGTCCATCCACAAGGGGGTGAATTTGAATCTCAAAGGCTCTGAATTTATTCTACTTGAATGGTATAGAGATCACACAGTCAAACTGGCCAGTCCAGTATTCGATGACTTGAAAAATACTCCAATCATTGCCATGCATAATCTGCACTTTTATATGAAATGGGTCGTTCATCGCCTCCCCGCGCCTGGCGATTCAGATACTGTTGCCTCTCGAAACTGGTTTGTCATTTTGCTGTTTAACATGCGGTATGCAGAATTTAAGTTATTTAAATCTCAGTTTTAGTAGCATCTGCAGGTTTCATGAAAATGTTTAAACTTGGTGGGAGGGCTGCCCATTAGTTTGTAAAGGGGAGTGGGCTGAAACTGCCAAAACTAGTGACCCTTAAGATGCTCAGATTTTGGTGACAGTCCGTCCATTTGCAGGATTTCCTATAGTTATTTGAAGTATGTGAATTAAATTCAGAAAGGGGATAAAGTCTCAGGGCTTAAATCAGTGCTCGCTGCGCTTTCCTTATGGATGCAGGTGAACTTCGAGCATCAGTTTATTACAAAGCCTTCATTTAAGAGCACCCTCATCCCACAGCAACCAAACAGCATATGGGGGCACTTTTGCAACGCCTGCCCAATACCAGGCTGGAGCTCTGTGGGAGGGAAGGCCCTCTGGTTGCTGGGACGGGAGGACGAGGTTAGGAGAGCTGAAAGAAGCAGACAGAGGGTCTGACAGCACCAGGGACTTGCAGTGTGGCCTAAATCTTTGCCGGGACTTGGGGCTGAGCCTGACCTGGCTGGAGGCAAACTTTGTGATCGTGTTCAGGGCCCAGCCTCAGCCCCAGAAGCGACCTGTTTAGGCCACACCTGACACCTCTTCCTTCTAGGCCAGTCTGCCCTCCCATCACACCCCCAGAGACCTGGAGCGACGGTGACAAAGGGCCAGCTGGCATCCATTTGTCTCCTCACAAAAGCGAGCGGCGATGGCGGGAGAATAGGGGCTGGGGTCAAGGTTTTCAAAATCCTCCCTTAAGAGGATCCACAGTTGAAGCTCTAGTCCAGGCCGACGGCTCTGCTTAGTCAGCTGCGAGCCCAACGGGCACCGAAGGCGCAGGAGGTCTCAAGCCGAGACAAAACTTCCCTTTCTGAGAACCAAAGGAACCCCGAGCTCCCAGTGCTCCGGGCCTCCAAGCTCCAGGAACGGAGGAGCTCCCGAGGGCCCCAGACCTTCCCAGGTCCCCTCGGGGGACGTCGAAACCCCGTCTTCGGTGGACAGGGCGGGAAATCTCCCGCGAGAGAGACCCGAGAGTACAGTCACCTTTACCCCGGGCGCTCTGAGTGGGGCTTAGGGGAGCAGACGCAGAGGCGGGGGGGGCAGGGGGGGCTTCCAACCTCGCGCTCCTTCCCGCCCTCCAAGTGCACCCTTCCCCCATCCTCCCCCCTAGCACTTACTCTGGTCCTTTGCCCCTTCAATTCCGCTGGGCCGGGGGTCCCCACTGGAGCCCAAGACCCGTTTGCCCCGTGACCTGGGATGGGCCTGGGCGTCTCCCAGAGCACCCTGGCGGAAGGAGCGGTGGGGGAGGAGGTGCCCGAGCCCGCCCGCGGTGCCGGGTCGGTTACCTGGGGATGTTTCCAGGTGGCAGAGGCCTACGCGCGAGGCGGGAGGGCGAAGCGGACGCCAGGAGGGGAGGCACCTGAGATGGGGATGGGGGACTGGGCCTGTGTGGTCTAAACGTCTCGGCTCGCGGTGGTCTGCGTTCTCGGAGAGATACACCCACCGCCTTCGAATGATAAAGCCCCGCCAGGCGGGCCGACGCCTCCCACCCTCCTCTGGGGAAGTCTCACCTACTGCCTCTTAGTGGGAGCGCACTTAGGAATCCACCCCGGCTGCGGGGCATTTAACTAACCGGTGGGGACGCGAGGCCGGGCGAGACCGCTCCGGCTTTAGCCGCCCCGCGCGTTCTCAACTCGCTCCCCCGCTCCCCTGGCAAACTTCGCTCCCCTTTCCCCCCGCTTCCCCCGCGCCTCCACCTCCTTTCCTACGGGGCTGGTCTCCAGGCTCGTCCTTCCCGGTTCTGACTGTGTCTTCGAGCGTTGATTGACGGTTGCAATTACAAAGGATGATGCCTCGGGGAGGCTCCCGCAGCCTTGATGAGCCCTAGAAGCGCAGTCCCGGCATATTTTATCCAGACTCAGCGCCACGGGGCCGTGCGCCCCGTCCACCCGCGGGCAGGAGCGGAGGGGGGCTCGCGCTCCCCGCCCGCGAGGATGCGACTGCCTTGCTCTCCCGCCGCCGCCTTCCCGTGGCTCCGCGCCGCGTTCCCGAGCGCGCGCCGGGCACGGCCTGCCCCTGACCTGACCTGAGATGTGACTGCCTTGCTCTCCCGCCGCCGCCTTCCCGTGGCTCCGCGCCGCGTTCCCGAGCGCGCGCCGGGCACGGCCTGCCCCTGACCTGACCTGAGATGTGTCGGGCGGCCCCGCGCGCTTCCCGCGTGCAGTCTGCAAAGGCGTAAGAGGTCATGATTTTCGGGACTGGTTCAAGTTTCCTGAGCTCGGCAGACACGGGTCCCCGGAAGAACAGCGTGGAAGACCTACGTCTCCCGCCCGCCTGGGTGGGAGAAGCCTGCCACGATCCAGCACGACCCGCCCAACCCCGCACGAAACTTGCAAATCTACATCCTTGGAAACAATGTCTAACACCTCCTCCATTCCTACTTTTTGGTGCTTTCGAGAAACCAGAATACTTTTCTCGTAGCACGTGCCTACTCTCTAGCCGCAGAAGAAACCTAGATTTTTTTTTTTTTTTCCCCCCACCGAAAGTCTCCACAACCAGGCCGGGATAGCCCGAGGGGAAAGAGAAAGAAGTTTATCAGTCTACTGAAGCTCGGGTTCTGCCTAAGTTCTCCGCCCCTCCCACTCGAAAAGCCCATCAGAAGCCACTTTTGCTTTCCTCTGAAAATTAAGTTCATCTAGAACTCCAGAGTTCCGCTGCTGAGCTGGAGCCGGGAAGGGGGGTGGTGCTGGGCCCCGCTTCTAGGCGCTCCACCCCCGCGTTCGAAGCACTTTTTACTTTTTTTTAAGAGAGGATAAATTTTAGTGCACACATATAAATTAACAAAGAGCATCGAATTGGCCGAAGCTTTCAGAGAATAAACTGGAATAGGTGAGAAGTCGTGTCATGTTAAAAAAAAAAAAAAAATCCCTTTCTGCTGCCTGAGTAAACAGCCTGTAGTCCAGGAGGAAAAACTGCGGCCAGTCTAGCTAGACCTTCTACCCCTAGAAAGACTGCCTTGTAGGGGGTGGCCAGCCAATGGCGACTGATTCACAGTCACTATGGGAGTATCTTAGTATATCAGGGCCCCGTCTTTACCAGCGAGGAAAACGCAAGGTGCCGCATTTATCTGGGTAATCAAGACGCCTCCACCCCCTCCAAACAAAGTCGCATCCTTTCTCTGAAGGACAGGTGAGGTTTTTGGAGACTTTGGCCTGTATTATTGGAATCTACAGCTCT